ATAGGTTCTTCGGGACATTTATACGAGATGTGGTGACATCATAGTGGTGCACAACCTCAATGTACTCACATACCTTAAGTTCTCAAAAGTATACATGGGCTAATACATGGGAATTTAAGAGAGTAAATAAATCGATTGATGTGATACTATGTGTGCTCTGTTGTGAAATGATGGTATATGTGCATGTATATATTTTGTTATATGAAATGTTATATGGCTATATTATATGTTTTATATGCCTCACTAAGTCAACGACTTAACGTGTGATTGTTTCACGCGTAGGTTTCGAGAAGAGGAAGATTGGTAAAAGTTATGCAAGATAGGTCAGTTCCTCCTTTCCAAAGACCAGATCAAAAAAGAAATATATAATATGTATTTTGTAATAAGGAAAGTGGTCGGTATGTAAATAAAGGATTAAATCTGATATGTTTTAATCGGTTTTGAAAAGTCACACGATTGAATTTTATAATGTTTTAAATGCATATATGTAATTGATAAATTTTATACGGATGAAAGCATAGAATTTTACGAGATTATACGTATTTTTACAAAGTTACTGTAGCAGTGAATCGATACACAATTGATATTTGAAATTTTTCACTGTTCATGATACTGTTCACGGTATTGTTTATTACTGTTCATACAGTATAGTGCTGTTCATAGCGTATAGTACTGTTCATAGATACATTTTTTTCTAGATTTTATAATGAAGTATAATTTTAATAGAATATTATTGTATTTTCTTAAAACAAGTTCAAATGTTTTGATATTTTATAAGAATATCGTTTTAAAAGTCAATGTGACATCTCGGACTCGTATTCGGGTCGGGTATGGGTTGGGATGTTACATTTTATATGAGATTGGTAATTATTTATGCAATGGTGTGATTTAGAGTTTATATTATATGCTGATACAGTATATAAAGAAATTAGTGATGATAAAATGAGAAATGATAAGCATGTTAATGATGTTATGTTACATAATATGTGCATGTATATATATATATTACAGAAAAGAATATATGCTTTGGTATGATAAGGTAATATCAATGTTCATGCATTATAGAAGTTACAGTTAGCATATAATTATGTTTTATATGCCTCACTAAGTCAACAACTTAGCGTGTGATTGTTTCATGCGTAGGTTCCGAGAAGAGGAAGATTGGTAAAAGTTATGCAAGACAGGTCAGTTTCTCCTTTCCAAAGATCAGATCAGAAAAGAAATGTATAGTATGTATTTTGTAACAAAGATAGTGGTTGGCATGTAAATAAAAGATTAAATCCGATATGTTCTAAATGGTTTTGTAAAATCATATGATTGATTTTTGTAATGTTTTAAAGGTGTATTTGTAAATGGAAATTTTATACGGATGAAAACTAAGATTTTTATAAATTTATATGTATTTTACGGAAGTACTGTAGCATTATTGTAGCAGGGTATCGATTCCCTGTAGCAGGGGAATCAGTTCCCCTATTATAATCTAGAAATTTTAACATTCGGGGTACTGTAGCAGGGTACTGTTCACGGTATTGTTCAATACTGTTCATACGGTACTGTTCACTGTTCATACCATATTTTACTGTTCATAAAACGTATATTTTCTTAAATTGGTTATAACAAACATGATTCAACAATATATTATCGTATTTTCTTAAAAAGAGTTCAAATGTCTTGATATTTTGTAAGAAAAAGGTTTTGAAAAGTCAATGTGACATCTCGGACTCGTATTCGGGTCGGATACGGGTTGGGGTGTTACAGTTAACCAACACGGAACCATATTATAGCCGAAGATCCTTGGAACAGACTCTCTCACAATACTGCAGGAGGCTAACTGTTGAATTAATATTTTGATATAATATTAAATTGTAAAATTGATTTTAACTTAATTGAATTTGTCAAAAATTTATCAAAAATAATTCAAAGTCTAAATTAACTTAAAAATATGTTTTAAATGCTTTTCGACTTAGTCGAATCTTTTCAAAAATAAACTCGATCATTTTCGCACTTTAAAGTTAAGTTTCCAAGGATTTTTTGCTCAAACGATCGATCCTCTAGCAAAAGGATTGATCCCTTTGACCAAAGGATCGATCCCCTTGAAAAAGGATCGATCCCTTGGATAACATTGAGTTTGAGATCGATCCCTCGATGAAAAAGATTGGTCCCTTCCCATAAAGGATCAATCCCTCTGTTACAACGGTCAAAATTTTTGAAAAAGAATTGATCTCTTTCAACAAAGGATCGATCCCTTATGCATTAAATGTAATTTTTTGTTGTAGTAACGATTATAATGATCCCCAACGACTCCAAACGACTAGAATTAATGGAGAATGCATAAATTGGAGGTAAATGCTTCCCAAGGTCATAAAGAATGATATTGAACCAATCTACAAACATCAAAGCTTAGTTTTGTGCTTAATTTGTAAAATTCTTTGTTGTAAAAACACTTGGGAGCTACATTGTTTATTTTGCTTAAGTGTAATTTGGGTAAGAGCTTCCACCAAGGTTTTTAAAAAATGAGAACGTACAAACTAAAAAATTAATTCAAATAGTAGTATTTACTTTAATTTTATTGAAATTAGTAGGATTTTGGCTTGGTTGATAGTTAAATATAGTTAAATTTGACTTTCTATTCATGACACTGTCAATTAGTCAAATTTTATTATTTTTAATTTATATAAAACAAATATTTTTAAATAAGTAAAAACCCTTTAAACTATTTTATATTATTTTTTAAATATTATTTTTTAAAAAAGAAAATGATAAACCCAGCTGAGCTCACTAAGTAAAACTCAATCTGGATTAGTTATTAATGTAATTAAATTAATTCAGTTCAAGGTTCTAAAAATAAAAATATACATATTAACCATTAAATTGTTCAATAACCAAACCATAATCACCCTACTTAGATCAAACATCAAAAGGGCAATAATCTAATTTTCTTTGCTTAATTTGAGATATTTTAGTCACTCCATCTAGTGATGTAGATGTTAGTTTTACAACTATATTATATTATATATTAAGTGATTGATTGAGTTAATATCAAGAATTAGTTGAATATCAATTAAATTAAAAATAATAATTAAAATTATTATTTAATATAAATCAAATACATAATTAATAAGAATTTAAAATCGTCTACCACTTCATTTATAATTATTTTTAAATAAATTTTATAAATATGTAAATTTTAATATGAAATATTTGTTAAATTTTGTCACAAAACATTGAGTGTAAATTCAATTGATAAATAATTAAAATATTGTTTTTAAATAATAAATAATAATATTAATATTATGATAATATTTTAATTTTTATACAATTAAATACATAAATAAAAATAATTTAAATATTACTAAATTTAATAATATATATATATATATATATATGATATATATATATATATATGATATTATTATTTTTTAAAAGATAAGATTCATTAACACAATAGAAATTAGAGAGTTTTATACTTATTCATGATAACTGGATGAATATAAAATGATGATTAAGATTATTTATTTTTTTCCGTAAAAAAATTATGAATTTCAATTTTTAATCTCAGTTGATAATTTACATTATCTACTAAACTTAAATCATTTAAAATTTAAAATTTATATTGTATAACTAAATTCTATCTATTTTTAGAAAATAAATATTTATATAATATTATCTTTCACTCATGATTAATATCTAACAAAATTTAATATGATATTTTAAAAATATATCTAAATTTAAATTTAAATTTACATATACGTATGAATTATATTATTTCAAAATTGGGTTGAATTGAATATAATATTATGCACCTCCACCAAATCCATTATATGAAACATTGGTGATCTCATATTTGACAATTCCAACACACCCCATACGTATTTTCTTGTAGGTGACTAGGCAAAATAATAATAATGCAGGTAATTGCCATAATTGACATATCCAAATTGTCCACCCAAAATATTTCAAGCACTTCAAACTCAAGTTTATTTCCATCAACAACAGTTGCAGAAAAAGAATCCCAAGTCATATATTGCTGTCTTTGAGTGCTTGAAATTTACCTATACGCGGTATGGGCAGAAGGATAGGTGGGGAAATCATCTCCCAGAAAATTAAATTTATCATATTTTTTTATGTATTTTTTTATTTAAAATCTATTTTCATTCTTGAAATTTTATAAATTTAAGTTTACCCTCACTAATTTTAAATTCGTCCTCGCTCCTATATATTGGTCCCTGCATGTACCTATAATATAGGACTAAAGTGCTGGGATGACCAAGTTGTTCAAGTGATTTGAGCCAAAGCCATTTCCATGACTCAGTCACTCACTCACTCCCCACCACCATGCATAACAACCAATCTATATCTTCTTCACAATCACATCCCATTCAATTCAAGATGAGTAAAACTCGATTTAATTTACAAAAAAAAAAAAAAAATCAATTTGATTCGATGTTGAACAACTTGATTTATGATTTTATATATTTAATTTGATTCGAACAAATTTCAAATGAAATTTGAATTATAAAATAATACTCAAATAGCTTGAAATTTTTAACGATTAGTAGATTGATTTTTAAATTCGCGTTGAGTCCTTCAGCTTTGTATGCTATATGTAAATCGTATATATATATATATATATATATATAGAAAATCGTTTAAATTAGAATCAATTAATATAATAACATTATAAATATTTATATTTAGGTTTAGACAGAAATTCAAATAAATTGAATCGAATCTATTCGAAAAAAATTAAAATGAAATTTAAGTTATGAAATAATACTCACCAATTTAACTATAAATTTTTTAACTAGATTGTACTCAATTGAATACTCACCCCTCACCTCAACCATGCAAACAAAGCAAGCTTTTTGATTCATCTATGGACTCCGTTTTACTATCAATGTTTGAGTTTTGCATAAGACATCAAGTTGAACCAGATTAAAACCAAGCATAGAATTGCAGCAGCTCAGCTAAACTGACAATTGAAAGGAGAAGAAGAAACATTATGGAGGACCATAGCCTGAAAGATCAGACCATTGATTTGGATTCAAGGAGCCTGCTCCGGTGGTCTTACCGGTGCCGGTGTTACCGGCGGTATTGCTGTTGTTGATACTCCATAAAGCTGCTTCAGAGATTTTAGGGTTACTATTGTTGATGAAACTTTGATGCCAAGAATTGCCCTCTTGATCCAATGAGTATATTAATGGAGATAATTGTGTTCGCCAAGAATTTCCCTGCAAAAGACCCAAATTTGAAGAACCGCCGCCAAGAGGTGATTGGTGGTGGTTCATTGGCTGAATTGCCGGCAAAGATGACAAGAACCCTCCACCGGGATACAATGATCCCACTGAAGAAACACCAGATGATGAAGAAGAGATGACAGTTTGTTGTTGAGCTTGTTGTGGTGGTGGTTGTACTGGTATCGGCGGCTGAGACGACCCTGAATTTTCACCTGAAGAAGAGACCTTCGAGCGCTTCCCTTTCCGGCAACCACCGCCAACGGGGACGTTCCTCAGGGTTCCGCCTTGAGTCCAGTACCTCCTGCAACCCTTGCAGAAATAACGAGGCTGAGAGAGACTGTAATTGTTGTAGTAACAAAACTTTGTGTTCACCGAGTCACAACGAGGACACTTTTGAGGTAGCTGTTGTTGTTGGTAGTTCTCGGCCGCCGCTTCCGTCGTCAACGGCTTCAACCTCCGATCTTGCGGTGGCTGCATATCTCTACTCTGATGCTATATTGGAGGCGATCTTTATCTTGTTTGCATGCCTATATATCTGTTTACCTTTACCAGCCCACCGAAAAGAAAAGGATGGCACCAAAATAATGAAAAGATCCGCTTAAAAACAAAACAAAATCTTCACAAAGAGGAGAGAAAATCACATACTATTCACGTATGAATGTACAATTGTTTAGGCATAGCTGAGCTGAATGACCGGCTTTTAAGATTGGGGGTCAAAAACAAAAGTGGTGTACGAGTGTCGGGCGTGGACAAAAACCACTAAGCAAATGTCTCAATCTCAGAATTTAAAGTGGATGTTGGTCCATTAATTTGATCGGGTCTAGTAATTTTTAGAGTTTCTCCTTATATCGAACTATATTTTTTATAATACTATAATATATATTGATTTTAATTTAAACTAATATCTGTAATCATTATATATATATATATATATATATATATATATATATATATTCTGTTTTGCTTGCATAATATTTGTAATGCTATTTAATAAATTAAATAACATTTATGATTATAAAATATATTTATAAAATTATTTTTAAAGAAGATATTTTATAGAATAAAATTTTAATGAGAATGTAAATGAACTAGAGGAATTGAAGGAAAAAATATTTAAAAAAAAGTTAACCAAATAATCAAATTGAATAAAAATAAGAATAAATTGCAAGAAATTAAATTTATTGTTAATAATAGAAATTAAAGATATATAGGTATTTTCTAGTGTTAGTGGAGCATTTGATTTAAATTTAATAAAAAAAATGGAGTTAAAATGAATGAACAATTGAAGGAATAAATAATTCATGCAAAGTTAAAGGATTAAATTAAAAATAAATAAAAATCATTTTCAAAAAGCTATATATATACGATGTTTTAAAAGTGCTTGGTCCAAATTTGATAAAAATGAAATTTAAAGTTAAAAGGAAGAAATTAAAGAAAAAAGAAAATTATAGACTACATTATAAAACTATCAAATTGGACTTTTGGTTTTCATATTGAAAAATCCAAATTCAACTTGAACTCAAATACTGAAATTAAAATTCGAATTGACACGTATAATTCAAAGTCTAAAAAACCGAAAATTTTAAATCAAATTAAGTTTTACTTGCCCGTAATTATATAAACTAATGTTATTAGATGGTATATGCTTTTCCATGTAAAATTCACCACTTTTTTACACTGAAATTACAATCAATTCAGTATCTAGCAGAATCCCAATCTCCGTCCTCGATAAATATAACCTTTATTTGATCTTAGATTTTGCATACACCTAGATGCATACCAATTAAGGCATAAATGATAAATTTAACCACAATAATAAATAAAAACCCCAAGAATGGAGAATTCTATATAAGTCTCGGTTTATGTAAATGGATCACCAGTTGATGAAATATGAAGTCTTTGCTTCAGCTCCCATGGTGCTCATGCTTCTGCTTCATCGAAGATCAAACATGAGGAAAGGAAGCACCATGATTTGCTCACATTCTCTTCAACTTGTTTTTACAGATTCAGCTGTAGAAACGGCATCTCATTCTTGTATCAACGATGATTGTACCCCCTCTTATCATCCACATTTCCTTGCGTTTGATGACATCTTCACTTGTAATGCTATTCAAATGTTAAGAACAAAAGAAACAGTTCCTTCTGTTAAATTGATTCTTGTTTATTACCTCGTACAATCATTCGGTACCTAGTCCATCTCTCGCATCTGATGTTCGACAGAATCCAAACCAGTCTGTTCAAGAAACTTCCTATAAAAAAAAAAAGTCTGTTCAAGAGACCTGCATGCATAATCCAATCAACCAAACTCAGGGTGTACGCAGAATAACAGTTTACAACTAGAAACAAAGATTAGATTAGAGATTTAATTTCACAGCTACAAATCATAATCCACATGCATATAATCACTTGCTTGCATAAAGATCACCATAAGTTCTAAAGCCGGGAAAAGAACTATGCAAGCATTCGAGAATCAACATATTTCAAACACAATTGAAACGAAAGTCCAAGCCAACTTGCCCTTGTTATCTAAACCATGTTGTGTGCCACAGTAACAGGTAGAAGGGAAAGCAATTGCAGGTTCAACAGTAACTTCAATCTAATGTAACAGATTATACAAGAGACAAAAAGCATTACAAATGTTCTAAGCTACAAATCCATCAATGTTCATGAAAAAACACTCAAATTTCCACCAAGTTGGTCTTAAGTATTCGAGTGTTAAATTCAACTTAGCTTAATAAGTATTCTCTCGGATCAAGCGAGAGGCACTGCGCAAACCTGAAAATTTCAAATTTTCATATATTTTAGATAATTTTTTTTTGTATTTTCTATTGTAACTAGTTCTCCTTCTTTAAAATTTTATAAGTTCAACACGTAACATAAAATCTTGCTTCAGAGATTTAACACAAAAGGTTTTGTCCAATGATCATACACAGTCCCATGGGTTTCCTTCAAATAATGATCAAAACATGGATAACACATAAGGTAGCTCCAAACTAAATAATTAATGGATCAAAATTTAGCTAAAGAATGAAGAAACAGTACCAGTTAAGAAGCAAGAAGAGGGCAACGGCGATGAGAACGAGGAAAGCAACAAGAAGAATCAACGAGGAGACAGTAGAGGAGAAAGCTAAACCCAACACAAAACCAAGGCAAAGACCCAACATAAAAAACGTTGATTTTAGTGTGTTCCATGTTGGGCCCTGAAGCCCAAACCTCACACACAAAAAATCAAAACTTGATGTTATCAGAAACTGCTTAAAGATGGCTGCAAATATGGATCATTGACAAGGGAATTGAACGAACGTTGACGCCAGGAGCTAAAGCTCCAAGTAAAACTGCTTGGGCTGATGGTATTGTAGACACTAATTTTCGTCCATATTTTATATATACATATATATATATATATATATATATATATATATATATATGTATATATATATAGTTTACAAATGATTTTTGAAAATATGATATATAGTTTTTAAAACATTTTTTGAAACTATATATATTATATAGTTTTTAAAACATTTTCGAAAATTATATAATATATAGTTTTTAAAATATTTTTAAAAAATTATATATTATATTTTTGAATTTTTTTAAATATATAATATATAGTTTTTTAAATCATTTTGAAAACTTATATAATATATTTTTGGAAAAAATATTTATGAAAACAATTATATATTATATAGTTTTCAAAAACATGTTTGAAAATATATAAATTTAAAATATTTTTTTCAAATATATTATTATATGGTTTTGAAAACCATTTTTAAAATCATATATAAAATATAATTTTAAATATATATATATATATATATATATATATATATATTATTTCTTTTTTTATTTGATATTTATTTATTTCGTTTATCTCATTTCAGGTTTAAAGAACGGGTCCAAGTCCAACAATCGGGCCTGAACCAGCCCAGCAGAAATATTAGGGTTTCACATCCAGTTTCGGTCAAGGCGCCGCACAACCCGGGAAACCAAGAGCCACGTGAAACAGACGGTTAACAGTACCAACGACCGGCCGAGATCCCCGGGACTGACCCATCCCGGGGTGACCGGTCACAGCGGCCACGAACGCCCCTATTTCGGGACTAGACCAACAAACACCAGGGCTATAAAAGCCCCGAGTGAGGCATGCAGATGAAAAGATGATCGGAGGCTAGGCAGAACCATCAGAGCCATCACAGTAAGACATCAACCACAGTACCCACAGAACAACACCAACAGAATCAAGCCACAACCAAACGGCCAGAAACCAAAGGATCGAAACCAGAAAATTATCGAGAACCAACAGAACCGCAAAATACCAAAAACAGTAAACCAACACGAACCAAAGCAGCCAAACATCAAAGAAAACCTCAAGGAAATACACACAAAAATAAAGAAAAGAACAGCAGTAAGCTACCCAGAGCCCCGACGGACACTGGAAGTCGAAAAGCCACCGACGAGAAAGGCAAAAGTCGAAGCTTTAAGCGTAGATCTACGCCGGTGGGTGGATTTCTTGAGTGTTTAGGTTTCGGTTTCGGGTTGGGGTTGGGGGCGGCGAGACGAGCGTTTGGGGTGAGTCTTGGTTTTTCGGCCACCGCTCGCGGCTGCCGAGGCGGCGGTCGGAGCAACGAGGCCACTGGAGTGGCTGCCGGAAATCGCCCTAGAGAGAAGCCAAAGAGAATGAGAGTTCTGTCTTTTAGAGAGATGGAGCAAAGTTTGCAAATGGGGTGAGTGGCCGATTTCGGCCTAAAATACCCCTTATATAATGCGCGTAAAACGGCGTCGTTTTGCTCAGGGACTTTCTGCGCAATTTCGTTCATGGGTAAACTATGTATCCGCTCCCTGGAACCTGTAATGCTTACGTTGTAGTCACTGTTATTAGTTTTTATTATTTTTAATTCTGACTTCAAATTTCAGGCGTATTTTATTTCAGTCACTAACAATTCCTTCTTTTCTATTTTTTGGGTTAACGTTTTTCATTTATTTAACATTTTTTTTAATTTTTCTTTTCCCTTTTCTTTTGTATTATTTAACATTTATTTATTATCTTTTGTCTAACATTTCGATTGTTTTTTAGAAACTTCAGTTAATCAAAGTTAAGCTTTTCAAATCGAATAATTTTAATTTTAATTTTAATTTTTAATTTTTGCAATTAAAGACAACCGAAAAATTAATTGGTACCGAAAGGGCGGTTCAAGGGTGCTAATCCTTCCTTGATCGTAATCGACTCCCGAACCCGACACGTTTCTGGTACAACGCAGATTAGGTAAGATGGTGTCCGACCCACCTAAAATCGTTTTAAAGTGGTCGGTGGCGACTCCAATTCATTTATTCAAGTCGAAGCCCGATTTCGGGGCCCAACCGAAAGACGGTTGCGACAGGTATATCTCCTCCTTTTGACCGTTTCTTCTCCATTTGAGCTTCGATTTGGATCTGTTTAGATCTTGAGTTTGGGATACAGCCCTCGGGAAGGAAAGGAAGGGACTTCGGAGAAAACTGGGGCCGAAATCCCTAAAACAGTTCATTAGGTCAGCCGGTTTGGCAGTTAAAAATAGGACAAACTACATCATTCATCATTAAACTATCTTCGTATTCCTATTTTAGTCATTAAAGATTAAATATTTTCAATTTAATAACTAAACTTTCAAACTGCTCATTTTAGTCACTATAATGACTTTGATTCTTTTAATATTAATTTTTTTTATAATATTAAATATTTTTTTAAAATTTTTAATGGCTAATATTATTTAAAATAAAATTCTTTCAAACATCAAATCATAAACCCTAATTCATACCCATTCAATTTTTGAATTCGAAGCTCCAACGAAGGGGTGAGTGTGAGGTTGTGATTTGGGATTTTTTTTAGAGTTTGGGTATTCTAATTTGGGGTTTATGGGTTGTGATTATGAAACTTAGGGATTTCAATTTAAGATTTGGGTGATATAGTTTTAAGGTTTGGATGCTTTGATCAATAGATTATGGGTTACAATTTAGGGTTTCCATATTTTATTTAGGGCTGAGAATTGCAATTTAGGGTTTAGGATTTAAATTTATATTTTGAGGGTTTTTATTTTATTTTATTGTCAAAGGGTTAATCAACAAATATTCTATTTTATTTTTATTCTAGTCCTGTGTGGGAACAATAATAATAAATTATATCGTATCATAAAAAAATATTAATAAAATAAGTAAGAGTGAATAAAACAATTTGAAAGTTTAATTATTAAATTGAAAATATTTAAATTTCAGTGACCAGAATAAAAGTCAGAAGATAATTAAGTGATGAATGGTTTAGTTTATATTTAGGGTGCATTTGGTTTACGGAATGTAAGATTACCAGTGGGAATGTAAGATTACCAGGGAATATGATTACTGGAAATGTTGTATTTTGTGTTTGGTTGGTTTAGCAGGAATGTAAGATTACCGTGTTTAGTTAAATGAATAAAAGATTATTGGAATGTATATTTGATCAAATTGTCCTTATTATATATTTGTTTTTTAACAAGTTGGAAAATATTTATATATTTTCTTTAAAAAATTAAATTCATAAAATTTATATTTTTTTACAAAATTGAAAATATAAAAAGGTTTAATGAAAGGGTAAAATTTTATTTTAACCCCTGAACTTCATATAAAATTTTAATTATAGTTTTTTTTGTAAATCTAAAATAGTTTAAGGATAAATTTGTAATTTAACCTTTGTAGAATTTTTATTATTCAATGACAGAAGAATGATATTTTTGAAAGAAAAAAAATAATAGCATTTTAGTCCAAAACGTCGGTAATCCAACAATACCTAAGGAAAGGGAGGTAATGACATTCCCGATAATATACCCAAAAAATCTACTATTGATAATAAAACATTACCGGGAATGAGATTCCCGACCAACCAAACATGAGAATGTGGATTCCATTTTGGATCAAGGAATGTGGGATCCTTAATCCAAACACCCCCTTAAAGATAACCCAACTAGCTAGATGGTATTTATGTTTTTTAAATTGGATTCGAATAAACACCTCATTTTCAGACATCTTCTAAAATCATAGGTACATAATATTCAGCTTGCTTACATGTATGTATACATACATGTTTTATGCTGCGTGAATGTACATAGAGAGCTTTGAAACTTCTAATTTCCCATGAAAGAAGGATTTCTCAAGGGCGGATCCTGCTGGAGTTGCCATTCTTTCTCTTTTAGAAACTGCAAGAGTGGTCTCGGCCCGGCTATGGGTTCGGTCATGGTACCACAGCCGTAAGGGGTTGGCCTTTGATAACCCTGGAACGGCTTTTCCATTCCCGGTTTTTCCATGCCGTAGTCACAGGGAAATCCTTGATGCAACGTTGGAGTCTCGGTGTAAACTGTTGGATTTTGTACGGAGGGGATTCCACATTGATCAAAAAGACCGAATCGGGACGAACTCGGAGTGGGAATGGGGTTCATGGGAGTGTAATAGTTGATAGGCTGCGCATGGCTGTTTGCACGAACTAGGGTTACGACTCTCTCTGTATCTCCGAAGCCATTCTGAAGAACTCATCCCGTTGAAGGGAGGGTATTTATCCATGAAACCTGGAATACCGGGACCATAATTAACTTGGCCATCAGGATACCAATTAGGGTATTCACTCATCCTTGATGCATCATAGAAATTCTCGGGTTTGTTAATGAACTCTGAGCCCCTTACCTCCCAAAAATTTGGCCTACTAGCATTAAACCAAGATGCAGCATCAGGCAATAAAGGGGCAAAAGGTACCGGAGCCGAATATGGAGGTGAGTAATGGAAATTGGTTGAAGCTTCCGATTTTGAAAAGGAGGCAGAATCCTCGGTTTGATGGATCGAGAGATCATTCATGGATGAAGTAGCTACTTCTGCAATAGAGCTCAAGCTCGATCTACAAACATCACTTCTCCGCTTTTCGGTACCACTTAAACTTCCTTGGTTTAAAACCCAAGAACCAAGTGATGGTGGTCTAGCAGAGACAGGGGATTCTGAAAATGAGAATGCAATAGAATCTTTTACAAAAGGCTCATGCTGCTTTGAAAGCTTGCTGCGCCTAAAATTCGAGATGTCGGAATGAAGCTCTGAAGCATCATCATCATTGGTCTGGTTTTGTGCTATTAGTAGGTGTTGTAACCGGTTTTCGTCCGGACACGAATTTTTATTTGGCGGGGAAATTGATGTGAATAAATAATTTTAAAAATAATTTATGAGTCGCCATCGACTTTTTTTTTGATCAGGTAAGTCGAATACCTAAAAATTATTTTTTTAAAAGAGTTTTAAGAAAACATCAATTAAAAAAAATGAACTGATATGAGTTTTATAACCAAAAATTCGTTTTTTTAATAATAAAAAGGATTCGTGGTCGGTTACGTTTAGGGAAGGATTAGCACCCCTACAACGCCCAAAATTGGTACTTTTTAATTATAAATTGTCTCTATTTATTAAAATTTAAAAATTCAAAAATATATTTAATTTATAATCCTATTATTTCAAAATTATATAAAAATATTTATTTATTTAAAAATATCAGAAAAGAACTTCTAGGTGCTTTAAGACAGCTCTTTTCTTTGATATTGATCAATATTAATTTAAATAATATTGTTTAATTTTAAAATATCTGAATAGGACATCCAGTTGTATTAAGACTGTCATGTTCTTTGATATTGAAAACTAAATATTAAAATAATTTATTTAAAATAAATATTTATTTATATTACTTAACAACATTTAAATATATAAACAAGTAAAAGAATACAATTCTAAATATATATTTAAAAGCAATAAAAATACTTAAAATAAATGACTAAATATAGTGAAATTAAAATTGACAAACCTAATTCATAATTAATTAGAATTACAGGGATTAATCAAGCTATTTTCTTATTTAATAATTTAGTGACTAAAATAAAATTATCTAAAATTCAGATATTATAATAAAATAAATTAAAAATATAAACTAGGGATTAAAATATTATTTATCAAAATTAAGGGATTAAATCTGTTATTTATCCTAAATATATTATTTTAATATGAAGGACTAAAATAAAAGAAATTAAAATTAAAGATCTGAATTAAAAGTATTATAAAATCGATTTAGTGACTAGAATGTAAAAATTACAAATTAGAATGGCTTCGGACGGGGTTTACCCTTTGTGAAATTACAGAAATACCCTCCCCGAAACGACGTCGTTTGGGAGAGGGTATTTATAACCCAAACCGGCTGGCCCTACGGGCCAGCTTCTCATTTCATTTTCTCTGTTCTCTCTCTAACAGAGAGAACAAAAATGTTCTCTGCCTTCTCTCTAGCTTCCCTCACCGGAGGGAAGCCGGTCACCGGACAGCAACCGTCTGCCGCCGTGACCGTCACCGCCGGCCACCGCATCTGGTGGCCGGAAAATTTTATTTTTCCACCATTAATAGATCGGACCGTCCTAAGGACGGTCCAGGTGTTCTTTTCCCTTAAAAAGCTCCTAATCGGAGCGAATCTACAAAAGTACCTTCGGTGTTTCGAAGGTTCCGGTGAGATCCGGTGGTCGGGGCTTCCTCGGTAAGTTTCTTTTCTTCCTTTTTCTTTCTTTTCTGTTTCTTTGCTGCTGAGATTGTTGAGATCGTTGGTATATATTTTTTTTTGTATCTTGTTTCTTTTTATCTCTCTCTGTGTTCTGTCCTTCCTTTCTTTTTTTTTTCAGGTTCGGGTGGTGGCTTTTATAGCCACCACCGGTGTGGCCATCGGACCGGTCCGAAGAGGGAGTCTCGGTGAGTCACCGGACTACCAGTGGTGACTCACCCCGTAGCCATGGCGTGGACGGCTGGTGTTGGAGCTTCTGGAGCCTTCAGTTGGGACGTGGCAGCGGCGGAGGCGGCGAGAACAGCAACGGCGGCCGCGTGGCCCTATGGTATCAGACCCTAGGGTTTCCATCTGGAGCCATCTGGACCGTTGGATCTTGCCAGATCCAACGGCAGCAAGCTGAGGCGGCTGGGATTAGGGTTATGAAACCCTAACTGAAACCCCCAAATGTTTAGGGTTTCTGGTTTGTTCTGGACCGGTTCTGGTTTGTTTGTAACTGGGCCGGTCCAGTTGTAATTGGGCCTGTAATTATTATTATTTTTAATAATATTTATATATGTATTTAATATATTTAATAATAATAATAATGATAATAATAATAATAATAATAATAATAATAATAATAATAATAATAATAATAATAATGATAATAATAATAATAATAATGATATGGGTAAAAAATTAGTATCTTCAGCTGCCCCTCTTTGCTCATTCTTGTGTTAACAAGAATAGAATAAAGATGAAAAGATAATAAATTTTTTTATCCATTTGGCTTCACTTGATCATAATGGAGATATTGAATAAATTCTTCTCTTTCTTCAGATGAGTTCTTCTCATTATGAACTTTCTGCTGGGGATGATACTGACCTCTTTCTTTCTGTGATAGAGTCATTCAAAAGGTTGAATAAGCTCTTGATGAGTTCTTCTCATTATGAACTTTCTCCAGAAAGGCTGATGATAATCTATCTCCTTCTGTGATAGAATTATTGAACAAGTTCTTCTTATTATAAACTTCTTATTCCTTCTTCAGATGATGAGTTCTTCTCATTATGAACTCTTCCTGGCAATGTTGATCCATCAAATGATGAATTCAAACAAAAAGTTGAACAAGTTCCTCTCATTATGAACTTCTTCTTCCTTCTTCAGATGACGAGTTCTTCTCATTATGAACTCTTCCTGGCAATGTTGATCCATCAAATGATGAATTCAAACAAAAAGTTGAACAAGTTCTTCTCATTATGAACTTCTTCTTCCTTCTTCAGATGAGTTCTTCTCATTATGAACTCTTCCTGGCAATGTTGATCCATCAAATGATGAATTCAAACAAAAAGTTGAACAAGTTCTTCTCATTATGAACTTCTTCTTCCTTCTTCAGATGAGTTCTTCTCATTATGAACTTTCTCTGGAAAAAATAATACATCCAGTGATGAATTCAGACAAAAGGTTGAACAAATTCTTCTCATTATGAACTTCTTCTTCCTTCTTCAGATGAGTTCTTCTCATTATGAACTTTTTTCTGGAAAAAATAATCCATCCAGTGATGAATTCAGACAAAAGGTTGAACAAATTCTTCTCATTATGAACTTCTTCTTCCTTCTTCAGATGACGAGTTCTTCTCATTATGAACTCTTCCTCTGGAAATGATGATCCATCAAATGATAGATTTGAATCTTTGCTAAAATCTTTGAAATTCCTGTTAAAAATTCAACATAGATGAAAATGAATGAAAATGCACTTATTTTTGTAAACACTTAAAATATGATGCATGAATGTTGAGTTATTTGATTTCAGATTGGTGAATTGAGTATTTCTTCAATTGTAAAAACCCAATAGATCTTCCTTCTTCAAATCAGAGAATCTATCCTCTTTGACAAATGTAGATGTAGATATTATGTCACAAAACCTCTTGAGAATAAAACTCAATAGTATAGGCTCTTGAAAAGCTTGCATTCAGACAACCTTTTGATTCTGATAACAACTCATCTGATTATGAAATGACCTTTCAAGATGATTTCACAGATATCGATAGTTCTTCTAATACCGAGAAATCTTGAATTCTGATTCTGATGAGGAGAATAAACTGTTATATTTGACAAAAATGGGATTCTCAGAGGCTGAAACTTCAAATAGCCCTGGAGAAACGTGGTCCAGATTCATCAATTGCAAAGTTGACAGATTTTATATCCGCTGCTCAAATGACTAAGGCTGCTGATGCACTTTTTCTGGTAAAAAATAGGAAGTCATTATGCAATGATCCCAATTACAAGCAAAGGTGAAACTTGGGCTATGATTTTTGAAAAGGAAGAAGCAGAGGAAGCTTGAAAAGAAGCTTCTTAATGAAGACGATCATGCAGTTCATCTTTCAATTCCAATGATTGGTTTTGTAGTTCCTACCACTAGATCAGATAACTCAAAGAACACTTCCAGAAGATGCTATTGGCAAATTCATCTTCCAAATTCAATGATTGGTTCTGCCACACCAGATCAGATAACTCAAAGAACACTTCCAGAAGATGCTATTGGCAAATTCATCTTCCAAATTCAATGATTGATTCTGTCCAACCAGATCAGATAACTCAAAGAACACTTCCAGAAGATGCTATTGGCAAATTCATCTTCCAAATTCAATGATTGATTCTGTCCAACCAGATCAGATAACTCAAAGAACACTTCCAGAAGATGCTATTGGCAAATTCATCTTCCAAATTAAATGATTGATTCTGTCCAACCAGATCAGATAACTCAAAGAACACTTCCAGAAGATGCTATTGGCAAATTCATCTTCCAAATTCAATGATTGATTCTGTCCAACCAGATCAGATAACTCAAAGAACACTTCCAGAAGATGCTATTGGCAAATTCATAATTCTGCCAATTGAGAACAGATTTTCTCTTATTCTGCTTCCTCCATGTGCTGATGCTTTTTCATTGACAAAGAAATGATGGCTTTCATGTGATCGAAAAACAAAGTTGAACTGTTTATAAACATGTACAAGAAGTGCCAAATTGACAGAAAGGATCTTTAAGGCTCTTGAAACTTATGGCAATGAGCCACCTTTGAGTATTCAGAAGTATGTTCTTGATGAGTACTGAAAATGGAATCTAGTATGGGTTGGAAGAAATAAAGTTGCTCCACTTGAACCTAATGAAGTAGAAATGCTTCTAGGTTTCTCTAAAAACCATGCACAATAATCTGTATAGAGACATGTTTCATGGTGGTATCAATGACTTGTTTCTTTTTGCTGGAATCAGTGCTGCAAAGATTGCCTTCTACTGTCTTAGTATATCTTTAAAAACAGATGTGCAAGAACTGAATGGTGATCGGTTGGAGCAATTGATGAATAGATTTGTCAAATTCAACCTTGTTGTCGGTAGCATCCCGTGTAACAATCTTAATGTTCATGGTTTTAAGATGATGATGATTTGCTTATTTCGTATTCCATGTATTTAAAAGTATTAACATAAAGTGATATTCAGAAATCTTTAACTTATTTCAAAATTATATTAATTCATAGAAAAGAATAAATTGAATTTTCAAAAATAAATTGAATCTCAAATAAATGGAACTTGAAATAGATAGAATTGTATTCAAAGTTATGGCAAGCATAAGAATGATAAAAATTCAAATGTCTCAACAAATTATAAGCATAAGTATTTCTACATTAATCAAGTTGACACAATTTAGAGAAATGATGTAAGCTTTTGTCTGGAAGATCTCAAACGTTGTCAAAATGCTTGTAGATATGAAGTTTCTTCCAAACTGTCAAAATCTTAAGAGGGTTCAATTGCCAGATGCCTAATATCAACCTGCATTTGAGCTGCCTTTTCCGGTTTTCAACTCAAATCCTTCCTTTGGTTACAAGATGCCCTTTGCGGGTTTTCACCTTGACCCCCCTTTTTCTTTTTTTTCTTTTTTTTTTGTTCTTTTTTTTTTTTTACTTTTTTTACTTTTTTCTTCAAGCATAATATTTCTTGACAGAATCCGAGTTTATTGGATTTCTCAGAATTTTTCCATCCATTTCTGCCAAGATCAATGCTCCTCCGGAAAAAGCCTTTTTCACAACGTATGGCCCTTCCCAATTAGGCATCCATTTCCCACGGAAATCTTTATGTATAGGCAAGATCTTTTTTAGTACTAGATCACCCTCTTGGAATTCTCTTGGATGTACTTTTTTGTCATGAGACTTCATCATCCGTTTTTGATACATCTGTCCATGGCAAATAGCTTTCAATCTTTTCTCCTCAATAAGGTTCAATTGATCAAATCTAGATTGGATCCATTCAGATTCATCCAATTTTATTTCTCTCAATATTCGAAGCGATGGAATCTCAACTTCAATTGGTAAGACTGTTTCCATCCCGTAGACTAAAGAAAACGGTGTTGCCCCAGTAGATGTTCGAACAGTAGTTCGGTATGCATATAAAGCAAAAGATAACTTCTCGTGCCAATCTTTGTAAGTTTCAGTAGTCTTTGTAATGATTCTCTTGATGTTCTTATTTGCTGCTTCAACTGCCCCATTCATCTTTGGATGATATGCCACTGAATTTGCATGTTTGATCTTAAACTGTGCACAAAGTTCGGTCATCATTTTGTTGTTCAGGTTCAGAGCATTGTCTGTAATGATCCTCTCTGGTAGGCCATATCGGCAAACTATCTCTTTCTTTATGAACTTGCAGACTGTGGACCTCTTAATATTGGTATATGAAGCAGCTTCAACCCATTTGGTAAAATAATCAATTGCCACAAGGATGAAACAATGTCCATTCGATGCTTTTGGTGTGATTGCACCAATGACATCTATTCCCCACATAGAAAATGGCCAGGGTGTTGTCATTACATGTAACGGAGATGGGGGTACATGAATCTTGTCTGTATATATCTGGCATTTATGACATTTCCTTGCATAATCAATGCAATCTGTGTACATAGTAGCCCAATAGTATCCATATCTCATTATTTTTCTGGCCATGGAAAGGCCATTTGCATGTGTTCCACATATTCCACTGTGTACTTCTTCAATGACATTTCGAGCTTCGCTGGTATTTAAACATCTCAATAGCATTTGATCATTGCTTCTTCTATACATAATCTCTCCATCAAGAAAATATCCAGCAGTCATTCTTCTCAAGGTTCTTTTATCAATTTCCGATGCATTTGGTGGATAACTTTGATTTTTGATATATTGCAGAATATCATGATACCATGGTTTACCATCTACCTCTTTTTCCACACTATAACAATGTGCAGGAATTTCATATACTTGCATTTTGATTGGCATCATATCAACTTTCTTAGTTGCCTAAAACATAGCAGCTAATGTAGCCAAAGCATCTGCCATTTGATTTTCTTCTCGAGGGAGATAATTGAAGGTAATTTTCTCAAATTCTTTCACTAATTCGAGTGTAAAATTTCGGTATTCCAACAATTTGGGGTCTTTTGTTTCCCATTCTCCTCGCAATTGATACACCACTAACGATGAATCTCCATATATCTTGAGAAATTTGATTTTTCTTTCTATAGCTGCTTTCAATCCCATGACACAAGCTTCATATTCTGCCATGTTATTAGTGCAAAAGAACTCCAGTCTACTCGTAAAGGGATAATAAATATTTTCTGGAGAAATTAACACTGCCCCGATTCCTCGTCCCAAAGCATTAGATGCTCCGTCAAAGTAAAGCTTCCATCATACAAATTCATCATTTGTTCTGACTTCTTCATTCATAGATATGCACAATAAATCTTCATCGGGAAAATTGAAGTTCAAAGGCTGATAATCATTTGATACACGACTGGCCAGAAAATCAGCTATGACACTTCCTTTTATTGCTTTTTGGTTGACATATACAATATCAAACTCAGATAATAACATCTGCCATCTAGCCATTCTGCCTGTCAAAGCTGGTGATTCCATTAAGAATTTCAAAGGATCAAGTTTTGATATCAACCAAGTAGTATGGTATAACATATATTGTCTGAGTCTTCGAGTAGTCCACACCAAAGCACAACATAATTTTTGTATTGGTGGATATCGAACTTCACAATCAGTAAATTTCTTGCTCAGATAATAAATAGCTTTTTCTTTTCTTCCAGATTCATCATGCTGTCCTAGTACACATCCCATCGAATTTTCGAAGACCGTCAAGTAGAGAATTAATGGTCTATCAGGTATTGGTGATACTAAAATGGGGGCATTGGATAAATATTTTTTAATAATATCCAAAGTTTCTTGACATTCTTCATTCCAGACTTCAGGATTGTTCTTTCGAAGTAATTTGAACACTGGATCACATTTGTCAGTTAATTGAGAAATGAACCGAGATATATAATTTAATCTCCCCAAAAAGCCTCGAACTTCTTTTTTTGTATTGGGTGGTGGAAGATCTTGAATTGCTTTTACTTTATCTGGATCAATCTCGATTCCTTTTTTGCTGACTACAAATCCCAAAAGTTTCCCGGAAGTTACCCCAAAAGTGCATTTAGCGGGGTTGAGCTTTAATTGATACTTCCTCAATCTCTGGAAAAGCTTTCTCAAATTTTGAATATGTTCTTCTTCAGTTCGGGATTTGGCAATCATGTCATCTACATATACTTCAATCTCTTTGTGCATCATGTCATGAAACAAAGTTACCATGGCTCTTTGATATGTTGCCCCTGCATTTTTCAATCCAAATGGCATCACTTTATAACAGAATGTGCCCCACATGGTTATAAATGTTGTTTTTTCCATGTCTTCAGGATTCATTTTTATCTGATTATATCCTGAAAATCCATCCATAAATGAAAACCATGCGTGCCCTGCAGTATTGTCCACCAATGTGTCTATGTGGGGTAATGGAAAAACTATCTTTCGGACTAGCTTTGTTGAGATCTCTGTAATCCACACACATTCGAACTTTCCCATTTTTCTTTGGTACGGGAACAATGTTGGCTACCCATTCTGGGTATTTAGATGCCTGTAGGAAACCTGCATTGATTTGTTTCATCACTTCTTCTTTGATTTGCAACAACATTTCTGGCCTCATTCGTCTGAGCTTTTGTTGGACCGGTTTATATTCTGGGTTGATTGGAAGCTTGTGTATCACTATATCTGTGCTCAAACCAGGCATATCTTGATAAGACCATGCAAATATATCTTTGAACTCTTGAAGGATATTTAACAATTCTTGTTTTATCTGGATGGTCAGAGTAGTACCAATTTTCACCTCTCTTTCATTTCTTCATCTGTTCCCAAATTCACAGTCTCAACCTCTTCCTTGTGGGGTAGAATTTGTTTGTCTTCTTTTTCTACCAATCTTAATAATTCAGTAGGAACATCATATTCCAGTTCATCCTCACAACCATTGATTTCTTCCAGACATATAGGATGCTCTAAATTTATCACTGGATTAAATTTAGGAATACACATGCTATTAACACGGTGACACCTGCAAATTTAAGTCGGACATATTTCCGAAAGAATATAGTAAATTTATGAAATGTAAAATGTAATAAAATGTAAAGAATGATTGCCATCTGAAAATTTTAAAGAAAATTTCTTATATTTAACATAATTTCTTTTACAAGATAACAAAAAGTTTTCATATTTTTGAGCTAAACATAAAGATTAGTTATGAATATTACTCTGCATTAATATTAAAAACTATAGGAAGATCTTCAGTGGTCCAATTGGTGAGTGTTTCTCCAGGAAGACATGGTCGAATCCTATCCAAGTATTTGCCAGTTTTGTTGTCATTCATGATCATGTTGATAAATAATCCATTCATAGCTTCTTCAACTATGTCTTGATCTTTCGTCAACTTTTCTTCTTTAAAGGCTTCAACAAGCTGCTGTTCTACATTAATAGTTCCCCCTGATCTGAATGTAGTCTTCAACTGTGGAAAAAACATGTGTTCCCAGATGATTTCTTTCCCTTTCAATTTTGCCTTTCTGTCTTCACATCTTCTTTTCATCTCTTTGTTCTTTTGCTGAAAATTGGGCTTAAATCCAAGCCCAAAACGATCTTTCTTCATCTGTATATTGACAGGAACTGAAATCCCTTGAAGATTCTTTCCTAACCCTTTCCCAGCTTTAGCTCCGATGCCTAAAGTTTGTTGTACCGTCATCTTGGTGCAATCAGACAATCTGGGATATGAAATTTTGCTTCCTTCTACAATAAAGGTTGCATTTACAAATTCAAGAGCTCGGAAAGAGCATTCAAGAGCTTCATCATTGGTGTCGATATATGGAACATCACTTTTTACTGACGCAATGATTTCTTCTTCAGCTCCTACGCATATTAATTGTCCATCAACAACAAATTTCAATTTCTGATGTAATGAAGAAGGAACGGCTCCTGCTGAATGAATCTATGGCCTCCCTAATAGACAATTATATGTAGGGTGGATGTCCATCACCACAAAGTCAATATTATACACGACTGGACCAATTAACAACGGTATTTCCATTTTCCCAAGCACCTCTTTTTGAGTTCCATCAAATGCTCGCACTACATTCTGATAACTCTTCATGTGATTGATCCACAGGCATTCTTTGAAGTGTGACTAGAGGCATCAAATTGAGAGCGGATCCATTGTCAATCAATACTCCTGGCAACATATGACCATGACAATGTGTCGTGATGTTCAAAGCTTTTACTGACCCCATTCCGCCTTCCGATATTTCATCATCTGTGAACGTTATGTAATTGTCAGCGGCTATATGTCCCACAATTCTGTCAAGTTTATTGAGGGATATATCTTCGGGGATAAATGTTTGATTGAGGATTTTCATCAAAGTATTTCTATGTGCTTCTGAATTCATCAATAAATCAAGAATAGAAATTCTCGCTTGTTGTTTGTGTAGTTGTTCAACCACACTATACTCACTATGTTTCAGGAATTTCAAAAATTCTTGAGCTTGTTTTTCTGTCACAGGCTCATTAAATGCTGGAAGGGATTCATCCTCAAATACCTTCTGAGGTATTACCATGGCTTTTCCTTTTGCTTTAACTTGTTCTGAAGCATTGGATGTTTCGGGAGAGTAACATCTCCCACTTCTTGTAAAAAAACCGACCTCGCTCACTGCTTCAGACGTCGATGTTGTACTCAGACTTTGTATTTTCTCTTCTGTTTTTTCTAGAGAAACAGATCCTCCTACCATTGAAACATTGGTAGTATAATTCCAAGGTACCCTGCGGGTATCTTTGTATGGAAATGGTAGAGGAGTGGTAATAACTACTTTCGGCCTTATTGGTGCAGGAATCACCGTAGATGATTTCACATTAATGATCACAGGATCATTTATTCTTTGACTTGGTTTAGAATCCTCTGATGAGCAAACATCATCTTCTTTTTTCCTTGGTTCTTCTTCAAAGAATTCTATTTCTCTATTGTTCATCAATTTTTGCACCAAATCCCTAAACTCAGGACATAGTTGAATTTTATGCCCTTTCTCCTGATGATATTCACAATAATTCTTGCCTTCATTCTGCTTTGGCTTGAATTATTGTGGAATTATACCGGCTAAAGAGAGTTGTTGGAATACCCAAACAAACGGAGATTTAATTTCAGAAATGTCAGTTTTTGCTTTCTTTCTGTTCTCTTCCTGAATTGCATTCACGTTTTTATCTCCATGATTTGGCAATGGATGATTTGATACAGATGATGTATTGAATTCCAACTTCCCAGTGTTGAACAAATTTTGAACCACCCTTTTGAATGCCAAACAGTTTTCAATAGAATGACCCGTGATTCCTTCATGATAAACACAGTGTGCCTTTGTATCATACCAAGGAGGGAATGGTGGTTGCATGGGAACCAAAGGATAGGGCCGTATGACATCTGCTTTTAACAGCGAATCATAGATCTCAGCATATGGTACTGGTAAAGGTGTAAAAGACAACCTTTCATTTTCCTTTCGAGATCCTCTGGAATCTGCTCGATTAGTGTTTGTTTCCTCTTTCTTAACCCTTGGCTGGGTTATTGTAACACTTTTCGATGAATCCTTGCTGTAAGAATTTGCATTGTTGACTTCATTCTCTTTTTTCCGGTACGTAGGTCTTTTGGAACTAGACCCATTATTTGATTCAATCTTGCCACTTTTCAAGACATTTTCAATGAGTTCTCCAGAAATGACCAAATCTGCAAAATTTCTGGTTGCATTCCCCATTAGATGATTTAAATAAGGAGCCTTCAAGGTATGAACAAATATTACTGTGGCCTCTTTTTCTGACAAAGGTGGTTGAACTTGGGCCGCAGTGTCACGCCATCTCTGGGCATACTGTCTGAATGTTTCATTATTCTTTTTCT